AAAGTACCAGCACCAAATACCAACGTCAAAATATGGTTACGGGCAATTGGGTAGGCCTGCGTACCCAGCGAACACATAACAAAATAGAAGCGCTACTCGGAGCGCAGGAGCGTGGCAGTCTGACTAGCCGACGAAACGGACAAAGATGGCGGCGCAGCCTAGTCCCGGCGTGTGCAACGCGCTGGTCGTCTGCTATGCTTCGAGTCAGTGTTGTTTACATAGGCTTTGTTTAAATGTAAAAATACTTTTGTATACAAATTACTTAGGTTTTTCTGGAAGTACATTGTCGTATTAGTATATTGTTGGAAATATCTTAAAGTAAATCGATTGTTTTTACTGTAGTAAATCGATTTTTTTTTTCATCGCGGGAGGAATTTTTGTTTAAAAATATATATCTGTTTAAAAACATCTTTGTTCGCATTATAAATCTGTCATATTGGTGTTATTTCTTGTGTCACGACGAACATCTGCAATGACGAAGGTCTGCATTGCCTGTTATTATTGTCTGTTGTTTTCATTGAATATCATACTTACCAAAAAATTTGTCAAGTTCAGTTTTGTTTGATATTAATTGCATTAGTAATGTAGTGTCGTTGTTAATTTTGCCATCTTGTAATTGATTATGCTAACTACTATTGTATGAATGGTGTTACCGTGAATAAATAAATAAAATAATAAATAAAAATAAACACGATGGCATTTTGAACGACATTTTTAGCGTCTTATTAACGATAAGTTAGTATACGTTTTAAAAATAAACATCAGCATAAAAACTATTGTGAGTAAAAATTTTAAAATGCATGGAACTGTTAACAATAAACCTACCAATAAGCCATACAAATTTCAGAAAGATTGGCTGAGTGGTTTGTTTACAATTAAATTTTAAACTTCAGTGTTAGTGCAGAGTTTCTAAAAAATCGGTACTTTTTAGGATCTTTCAACTATATAAATTTTTCTGGTAAACGGAAATGTTTTTAATCGTTACCACGTAAAATGTATTTAAACCAGCTTATATTTAATTTTGTCTCAACAAAATCGGATAATTCATCTCAAGAGATATTTAGGCTCAAACTCGAGTGCACATATTTATTTCCCCGACAGTAGTCCCGGCGTGTGCAGCTATGCTTCATGAGAATAGTGTAGATATAAAGTTAATGATATTAGTGTAAAGGAAAACAATGTAATAGAGGACTTGGCGAACAAAGTACTTGGACAATGTGTAGGAGTAAATTTGTTTCCAAATAGTAGTCTACATATTTCTCAGGATATGAAACAATATGGACAAAAATCATTTTTGTTTAGTACCTAATTAAAATTATTGCTCAAAAATATTTCAATTTAGAGTTCGCTACTACTGTAAAATAAGTAATGAAAGTCTTCACAAAAATAAAATCAGGCAACATCTCAATAAAACTGTAATTTTTCTGGGACAATAAATTGAGTGTAATTTTACAAATATTTGGGAAGTTTAATTTAACTTACAGAATTATCTTTAGTTTATCTTGGATGATATTGAAAGCTAATTAGTCCTTAAAAAGTTGTGCTAAACGGTTGAAATTTCTACATAGACAATATATTTGAAAATTTCTTTAATATATACAATATTACAGTACAACAGTATAAAACATTAAAACACTGCACGCTAAATGTATAGACGATGGCCCGGCGGCGCAGCGGCAATGGATCCCTTTTGTACCTGATTTTTTAGAAAACCGAACATGATAAAAATTTTTGGTGAACGGGATAGTTAAATTTGGTTATTTATCCACAACTTTCCCGCTGACGAAATTTCTCTGACCAAAAAATAAAAAATTTCCTCGCAATACAACTTTTTCATGTTTGAATTTTAAAAATTAAACTACATAAGTATTAAACATATTTATAACTCAATTACTATCATAACTAATAATTTTATATTAACACCATCGTTTTCCTCAGTATCATATCTACAAGTGTGCAAAATTTCAGAATTTTTTGTCACCTATTAATGTTGTTTATGATCGTGTATTTGTCGCGGGGTTTTTAATGCGAACTGAGCTCGCGGGTCTTGGATTCAGGCTGTATGACGGACCAAGATGGCGGATTTGGCCACACTTTCAGTGCATTTGGTTAAACGCCGTGTCCTCTCTATTATTATTATTATTATGTGCTCGCTGTGCGTACCCATAGGAGATGATGAACCATAGACATATTGAGGGTGGTACGGTGCAGCGATGGCAGTGCAATAGCGGTGAGTAGAAACCGAAAGTGACACATTGGAAAAGTGAGTTTAGCAGCATATGTAAACCTCGGTTACAATCACAACGAAATCGTAACGACCTTCCGAGTTGCAGCAACATCTGTGATCAAACTGTTGTGATTTTTACTTCACAAAACAGTCATCGAAGCGCTATCAATGAAAGGAACAACATTATTAATTTCTCTTGGTTTTGGATTTTCTTACAAAAAGTTTTTGGAAATGGTTGCAGTACCTATTTGTAAACAGCATTAAATATAAACATATCTGTGACAACTAGAAAAAATAATCCATCCAAACGGATGTTTGTTATTTCATAGATGTTGCATTTTCCAAACAGATGCATAAATGACGTATGTGGTAAGCATTGGGAGAAAATTTGACAAAAATTGCATAAAATTGGGTTTTTGAACATCAGTTATTTTATTTAAAAATTAATGAGGCCATTTTTTAACGGCTAAAGACACTCTTGCCACCAATCCAGTGGATACAAAAAGACTATTTGAAATTTGAATCCAGATCGATCCTTGTTTTTCAGAAGGCCGCATAAAATGCCTTCTGGCCCGTGACAGACAGGCAGACAGAAATCGAGATAAAGACTTTTGTTTCGGCTTCTTTAATGTATAAAATTTAAAAATAACAAAAGATATATCATTTCTGAGCAATGTACAGACAAAACTCTTATTTTATTTATGTAGATTAATATAAATATTTGATAAATTGCATAAAATGTGTATTATATATATGTAGTTTAAAATTACAAAAGATCTTCTGCCAAACAATGATCAATGTTTACCTTTTGGCTTTTTGGTTGGCTGGTGCAAAGACTGCTATGTAAGTTATTGATGTTAAAACAATAAACGCTAGGGCTTGCATCATACTTGATGCTGTTTCTTAACCAATTGTTTATATTTGACTTTCAGTTGGTTATGCATGTTCACTAATTTGGCTATGGAGAGGATTGACGTCTAGAAACATGAGGAAAATTAAAAACAATAACAAATTTCTTTGTTTGCAGAAAAAAGGGAGTCAAATTGTTATACGTAAAACTTGTGCCTGTTACCAAAAGAATCTATTTATATAATAGCATTGACTATTGGATACAGAAGTTGTACTGATTAGTGATTATGATTATGATAGTCAAAGATAATAGGCTAAGCCGTTTTTGGTTAATCAAACTCCTCCGTTATTATTAGCTTGATTTTGACGTTTGAGGTCTCAAAATAAAGGTTTAAACATGTAGTTGTGCCAACGGTATTCAATTTCTGATAAAGTCATTGGTAAGGGTGTGAGCAGCCCTTAAGTCTGTTCTTTATCTCCATAAGGATAACATGGGAAATTTTATTTACAGAAACATATGTTTGTTGTAAATAGTACATAATAATATATTACTAGTGGTCGAAAACTCGACCATAAATATGTAATGTACCCGCATTGAATATTGCATACTGAAGTAGACATCCATCTATATGGACCAGTTATCCCCATTTTTTAGTCTAACACATTTAGTTGTGTGAACCAGTCACAGTATGCTGGTATCTTATTTTTTGTTGCTGACAAAGTTGATGGGTCACAACAGTTAGTTGCTATAGCTCTTAATAAGTCATTCCATAAGTTTGACTTGGTAAAAATCATTGTGTATTCGAGAGAAATTAGTCATTTATATCTTTTATATCAGCGCAATCTGTTGGTGGCCCACATCAACCATGACAAATTTAATTAAAACTGGCGACAGCTTTAACATGAGGATGGAATGTCTAGTTGTAAGTAAAATGCACAGGCATCACTATTTTCACCCCGCGCTGTAAATAAAACATGTGATTGTAATTTCTTCCATTTGTTTTGATTTTCTGTTTATTTCGTCACCAGCACGGCAACCCATAAAGCCTACGTTGATTTTTGTTTAATTTCAAATTCATTTTTTGTGCTTATATTTGAGCCTATTTTAATTTTTAAAGAGATTCTGCCCAGAAAATTCTGTAGTCTAATATTCTAATGGTGAACATATTGTACGTCACTTGTCCAAAATGTGTTTGCCAAATTCGTGCGGTAATCCCATACTTGCCCAGTAAATTCCCATTTTAAAACGTTTTTATTAGGTCGCTTTCTTGTCCGCTACAAATTTTGCAACCGATTGTATACTAACTTCCCGATGAGCTAGGGACTTGAAACATATCTCACAAATGGAAGACAATGCAATATTATACAATTTAATTTTCATATTTCCCTTGGGCTACGCCCCATGGGCTTGTTTTTATTCTAGACTAGTAACGTAATTAACTGACTATTTTTGTAATTTTCTGCAGTGCATAAAAAATAGTTTGTTGCTATACTTTAATACGTTAAGCTAGGGAAAAAAGGATGTATAGCTTGATTTTGAGAATATTGTTTTTTGCTCTAGTACGGCCACAAAATTTCGGTTTGAGGGGAAGCGTTCCGCCCCCTACAACTTACTCCAACTTTGAAACAACTGCTGATCAGCTGATATTTATTTTTTAAGCTAAAAATTGGTGGAGGAACCCAGGAAACCTTTTTCTAAGAGAAATAAGTCCTAAATTTTGTGGATGGACTATCAAACCTTTTATCAGGTTGTATTAGCTGATTCTTTAGTTAGGACCACTACTTTATTAGGCCAAGTTATTAGTATAACTGGGACTAATAAAGTACCGTATCTAACTGTGAATGTAATTTAGTTTAACAGGCAAGACAATGTTGTCTCTGGAGTAATATAAGGATAATAAAGGAAGTAAATAAATCACATAAATGTAGAAAAAATTACTTCATTAAAAAATTGTTATCACACTTTACAAATTAACTATTATCTCTAAGGCCCATATTTACAGTAAATTATTTACAAGGACAGGTTTTGGTGTAATTTACATTGTTTGAAACAGTCAAATGATATCTAATATAGCTACTTTAATTTATGAAGCATTTTATTATTATAGGTAGGGAGAAATGCTATATTTTAACTGGAATTTCCCAAAATACTTTATAAAGAAATGTTTGAGCCCAGGGGCTGATAGATAAAGGTCACAACACAAAGGCCAACATAATACACGCATTACGTCTTCATAACAGAATCCTAATTGATAGCCTACTTTAATTATTTCATAATCAGCAACCTGGGGTTTCTTTCATAAAATTTAAAACAAAATAGTAGTTTCAATACAAAAAGATATACTTAAATTAAAACTATGTACAATTTAACATTACACCTAAACAAATTTTACAATTTAACACCTATAATCACTTGATCTGCATTTATCTATTAGAAAACAAATGTAATAATGCAATTAGTTTGGACTGACAGAATCAATTACACTTAACTACAGTGACCAAGAAAAAACACTTGAAATTGAAATTAATCTGACTATTACTAGAGATTTGATTGCACCATAACAAATATATTTTGGGCTAGTAAAAAATTGACTAGGTTGATTTTAACAACTAAATTTTAACAAAAAGTACAAACAAATTAGCAATGCACTTACAAAAAAAAAAAAAAAAATACTGACAAGATAGTAGGCATCAAAAAGCATATTTTAATTTTACAAATAAACCAATATGTTACTCTGTATAACAGCAGATCTCAAATGTGTTAAGGACGTTTAACAATATTATTTACAAGAGGAGTTTCTTGGTCAGTATTTCGTAGACCATTTTCCGTCGGAAATACGGCATATCCTTCTGTGTAAATGTAATCTTGGCATTTCTGCTGGTGTATTCAGCAAACATGCAGGAAAACATTCCGCAGTCGCTGCCGTTCATCTGCTGCGGTATGTCCTACATCAAGGTAAAAGGTGGATAAGTGACAGAGTCAAGTGGCAAACTTATAATTTAGTCACCATGTCAAACCAAACTTTATCTACATCATGCATCAGGTAATACAATGGTGTAAATAAATGATCTTCTATGACTTTACAAAAATAATTCCAATAAAAAGGTCATAAAAGATAACACTGATATTTTGTTCATCTCCCCAAGTGATTAGTGTACCTGGATTCCTTACTGTGAGACCAGGCCTCTCCTCTACTCTTCTCATTTATATAAGATTTCCTATTAATTGTCTCCTCCTCCTGTTTTCAATATTTCTCCTTTAAACTCAAGAAATTGTCTGTTCTTCCAACAAAACTGATTGACTGATTAAGATTTGTTTATAACCTCCTAAATATTACAAACATCAATATTTACTCCCAAAAAGCTGGTGAGTTTCTTTTTATATACAGGTGTTTTTGTTTTTAAATTTGTTTTCAATGTAATTCTTATGGGGAAAAATGCGACCTTTGAGAGCGTCTCATGCCCTTACGGGTAAGAGTTTTAAAATTCTAAAACCTTTATGCAAAACTTTGAATTGAGACAAATTATTTGACACCTCAAACGTTCATCGGTCAAGAAATAACGGAGGAGTTTTGTTCACAAAAAACAGCCCTTACGTATTAATTTAAGAGATTAGCCCCATGTTAAATCTACATAAAAAAATTTTAATTTCCATTTTTGACCTAATTACAAATTTTCTCAAAATACAAATAAAACCTGCAAATATAGGACCGATAATCTTTCTTTTAGTACAACCCGCTTGTAATTTGTTCCAGTAGTATGGTCAGGCTAGCTGTCATAAATTTTGCAAAAGTTATTTAATATATAAGAATGAAAAATTATATTTTCAATTGTAAATTGACTTAGGAATCATGGTGTTTACTAGTGACTGCATTTCTTTCAGGCGGGTTGAACCATGACTGCCTTTAACTAAGGCAGCGGCCAGTGAGAATTGACAACGTTGCGCCAAGCATCTACTCCCGGCCGTTTCACCATTACGGTAGTAGACAACTAGTGGTCGCGGTTTAAATACCCTTAAGGCCAAGTCACACCGAGCTCGCTCCTGTGGGGGGAGCGGATTTTGAAAAATCGCTCACCATGTTATCAAATGTGCCAAATCACACCGCACTACCGCGTGCGTGCGGTAGTGTCCGCCACGTCCGCCTGCTGAGCGATTTTTTGAGAGTACCGAGGCGGGAGTTTTGTCTAGCGCATGCGCAAAGGGGCATCTCGAATGCCCGAGCTATTTAAAGTTTAAAAGTAATACAGTTTTAAATTAAATTTAACATGTTTCTTTTGTTTGATGATGTAGTCTATGTTGTTTTGTATTATCTTCGTAATTATGTTTATCACCAGAAAAAAAATATTTTTGTTTACCATGCAAAAATAGTGTTTACGGCGAAAATTTAATGTTTCCCATAAACATTTTTAGATTGCCGACGTAAAAAAGTTTTTTTATTTTTTCATCAACTTTTTCGATTTGCAACAACCACACCTTTACAATCAATGTAAACTTGAACTTTCAATAGAAGGCTTAGCAAAAAATTACATTAGTTTTGAAATGGTTATATGTTTTTATTTTAAAAGTAAATAGTCTTTGTAGTGTAGCGAAAAATAACGTTCAAAAGCTGAAAGTGGATAATTTATCCACAACCATATTTAAAATGCTTCGAACACAAGGTCTAAATTAAATTTAAAAATAGTTATTCACTTTTTAAAGTAGCCCTACACTAACAAATTAATAAACATTCAATTGCTTCTTAAACACTTTACTTAAAACCTGCAAATTTACATGGCATACTAAACAGGTAAGATGAGTTTCTTATGTAAAACGAATTGTAATGAACACATCTCAAAACTCCCGCCGCGGACGCAAACTTTTGGTGTAACATGGCTCGAGGAAAAACATCTGCACGCGGTACTCCCGCGGCGGGAGCGGAGGATGTCGGTGTGACATGGCCTTTACAATTGAGGTAACATTTTGAAATTTGGTGAAGAACTAGCAAATAAATCCTTCATACCAATGGTGTAATTTTGAAGATAAAAATTTTGTTTGGTAGTATTTATAAATATTTTTAAAATTAACACATTAGAAAAAGTTTGGAAAAGTAAAACAAAAAGGTTAGTTGCCAACTAAAATTGTTCTTTGTTGGTCAGAGAAGTTTCGTCAGTGAGAAAGTTGCAGATAATTAAATATACTTTACTGTTTGTATTTAACTTTTTTTCTATCATGCTTAGTTTTGTTAAAATTTTGTGTTAAACAGAGCGACAAATTCTCAGTTTTATGGCGCGGCGCGGCGTGCAGCTGCCCGCAAGCTGTAGTGTAGTATCGCTTGGCTAATTAATTATTTCAAGCAGGTTAGTATGCCTTTTGACTACCCTCAAGAATATAACTTTCGTAGCAAATATTGCTTTTATATACATTCCCTCAACCAGTATAGAAGTTTAGTTATAACTATAAAAGCTTTACCTGGGTGTGATATATAGTTTTTCTTTATAATTTCCCGTAATAAGTACAATTAGTGACAACTTGTGATCAACGTTCAGTTGTTTTCGCAGTTTTTAGTGAAAAATAGTAGCCACCGTAACTGTATGAAAGTTTCAATCCTTTCTTAATAATAATAATATTATTTATCGTTTTTGAACATTTTTACATTGTATGGTTATTATTCTAATAATATTGATAAAACAATAGCCTATATAGAAGAGTTATTTAAATAACAATGTAAATAGGATTGACATTTTAACAAACAATTAATACTAGAGTAAATGTGTAGAATAGACAGGAGAAAAACTAAAATTCTTAATAATACTTATAAATAAAAGTTAATAATACTTCAATGTTCAATTTACCATAAAAGGTTTTATTAAATATTTTCTTGTATTGACACAAAAGCCTTGTATAATTATTTCCTTCTTTTCCTACACATCAGTGTTATCAGATGTAAAACATCTAAATTAATAGATAATTTGCGTGCTTGCTCTAATCCTCCGTTGTGCGAGCGTTCAGTGGTGTAGCGTAGCAGTAGCCATCCAGCCATCCCATGCAGTGTTGCCACTACGAACGCCACGGCCTTAGTTAAAGGCGGCCATGATTGAACTAACCTGTCACTGTTGTCACTAACAAAATCCATGACTTGCTAAGCCTCTTGTACCTACATTTGATGTTTTTAAGGGGTTTACAAATTTTTGAATGAGTTAGAATATGAAAACTAAATATTTCTGTGTTTGATTATAGTTTATAAATTTAAGACTGAATTTAATCATCATATACCAAGTGCCTCAAAAAATGTCAATTATCTACTAATTAGTTTTACCCTACTTTCCATACCTTCATGTTTTGAAGTTTCCAGTCTGAAGTATCATAAGGTGACTTTTTCTTATCTACACTCTCATCATTCAGGTACTTCAACAAAGCCTGAAACAACAAAAAAGTAAATAATCTACCTCAAAGCAAGATTAGATTAGCAATGTACACCCTAACCTCAATATGTTATGGTATATAGATAACCTATAGAGGTACAAAAGGTTACAATTGTAACTACCTATTCCTTATCCGTTAGGTAATTAGGCTTGAGTGGCCAAGTGTGACTTAAGTGTAAACCTTTTGTTTAGCCATTACATTATATTGAAAAAAGTTGAAGAAACTGGTTCCTGGTACTGAAGTGTTGTAGTAGAAATGGGGGGGGGGAGGGCTTACATGAAGGCACTTGTTGTTTTCGCCTCCCATACTGTCGAAGTAACGTACAGTCTTGTCTCTGAAGTCTATGGAGGCCATACACCAGTGCATGCCAAGATGAATAGGCACTAACAGAAGGTCATGGTTGAAAATGTCTACCTGAAAAATCATTTAGTAGAGTTAGTAAAAATATAATTATAAAGCGGCTACATTTTCAATCACAAAGTTTAAGACAGTTGGCAATAAATAGTGCTAGAAATTAGTTTTAAATCATATGATTCTTTATTACATGTGTACCGGGCCTATTTGTTTAGAGGGGTAGTTTCAGATGGTAGTGTAACCAGGTTAAACTACCAAAGAAGACATCAGTTTACCTGGTGTTGGTAGAGGGAAGGAATCACTTTATTAGTTGATAAAAACAGACGATTACCACAGAAGGGCTTTTAAAAGTTGAATAGCTAGACGTTGGCTGCTGAGTGTGGAGCCCTAGTCACAGCACTAGCTAACTAGCACATCATAGCCTTAGATAACCTCTCTGAAGTTTAAGACCGCAGACGACCTCAGTGCAGAAGCCAGTTTGGTTGTTTGGTTGTTCGGCTCCGTCTGCGGACATGCTCGGGAGGAGAAATTTGCGGGTCTGATTATTTTTTTCCCTTTTTCGGCCTGGGTAAGCATTTCGTGCCGGCTTTTGATGTCACGAGTCTTGGCCTTTTTCTAACTTTTTGTAACTCGCTGACCAATCAGCGAGTGACTTGGTATTCTTCTCGACAATCATGTAGTTTGTGAAGAGGCGGTCTGTCTCTCTTGTCCCGGCCATTCGTTTTGAAGTTAGTAATTTAAAGTTCTTACTACGTCTTTATAAATTTGCGTTCATAAGTTCTGAAAGTTGAGTTGGAAGCGTTACCTTCACAGTTTAGTGGTGAAACGTGTACCACACGTACGTGTAGTATTTAGTTTTATCTATTTAGTCGTTTGGTGAGTTGTGTAACAACAATTTAATTGTATTTTAATTTTTCTCTACCAGTTTTAGCGAGCAAATCTTTGTCGTAATTCGAAGGCTAGGCCTGCCTGCAGCCCTAACCCTATCATACGCTAACGTAATTTAACCAAACAATTAAGTGGGGAAATTGAAGTTGGTGACTCCCGCTTTAAATTAACGTTTTAAAATCCGTATTGGGACTTTCTTTTAATTTTTAATCTTTTTAAATTTAGTGTGACGTGCACAAGTTTGTCCTGGCAGATAGGTTTCTACTTGGTTTGGCAAACGTTTGCTTAAGTTTTAGTTTTGTTTTTACATTTAAGCAGCAGTTTTATTTTTTGTTTCGACCTATCCTTTTTTCTTTTACTGGAAACTTAAGCCAACTTTCTTTTAGTAAACTCAGACTCTGTGGGATCTAGCCTAGGCCTATTTTAACCCTTGTTTGTTTCAGGTTCTCACATGTAACTCTGTAGGTAAGCAGAGTTAAACTAGCCTACTTAGTTTATTTGGTTATATAATTAAGTTAGAAGCATTTAAAGTAATTATTACTCACAGAGTCAGGTCAAAATTATCGGTCCCCCACAAACTATTTTAATTGAGCGGTGACTAAAAGGGTGGTGTTTAGGGACACTTTAGTTGTTCGGAGCTCTGATTAACCGAGACTATCAACACTGAGGCTATCCTAATTATTATCAACTCCTGGAAAATTCCAGCAACCCGACTCGTGCGATTCCTGGACTTCGTCGATTGTTAAGGTGGCGGACTTTCCTGCAGTACCATATGAGTTTTCACTGGCAGGAAATTTGCATCACAGATATGATTATGAATTTTGTTTTAAGCTGTTATTAGAAGATTTCAGGATTAAAATGTGTTCCGAAACATTTATGAATTTTTTATACCTTACATTAGATGATCAACAATGACATAGTAAAATACAGAATGAAAGTCAAATTAACGATGATCGACCAGGGTTGTCAGCAGAAGCTACAAACTAAATTCACAGATTTTCCCCCGCTTTTCCAGCTAAAAAATACGGGATTCCCAGTATCTATTATACGTTGAAAAGCTCAAAACACCTTGAACTAACCAGTTAAATTGGTCAAAAACCGAACACACCGAGTTTTGTCTCAAATAATAAGCATACACTTCAATTTATCAACACCAACTGAATATTAATGTTTTGTTTGGCTTTTGATCTGCTTGCAGACAAACGGTCTTGTAGATTGTAATTACAATCAATAATGGTCAATTGACCACTAGATTCAGAAAGCCGTGATTGGTTATGGTGTGCAGTATAGTAGGGGTGTGCGAATAGTGATTTTTAGGTTCGAGCCGAGCCGAGCCGAACTTAAGCAAAAAGTTCCGAGCTTCGAGCTTTTTCGAGCCGAACCTTAACCTTCTAAAGTTTGTGGTATATTCCTGTTTTTACGCAAAAATAAAGATACAAAATACATGTAATTGTTTAAACTTACTCAAATAGGTGTTTAATAAGTAAGTATTTTACCAAGCCCCTATATATTCAATGAGTTTGCTTATCCTACTAGGCCTATTTATTAAAGGTTTAATGGGAAATACAAGATAACATTCTTAATAAAAATGCAAATTTATTTTATACAAGTAAATAATATATCAATACAAAACAATAGATTTATCTTGGAAATATAGCCTATTTGAAAATTAACCAAACATTGGAAACTGAGATCAAGTTGACAATGCCAAAACTAGGAGATGAAAAAATAACGGTAACAATAACACATGAATAGATAATGTAACAAATAAAAATCCATACTAAAGATTAGGATACACACTTTACCCTGACACTACATTTTAATTTCCTAAAAAGGAAGTATTTTGTTGAAATTAATACAACTCCTTAAATCATCTTAACAAATTAAATCAACAGCTACCTACTATAAAATAAACAACATAAAACCGAGATCAAAATGAAAATGACTAGGCTATATTATTTAAGGAATATCGATGAAAACAATTAACAGTGTAATAAATAAAAAAACTATACAACAAACTGTTGTATGGTATCTTGCATACTCGAAAATGAAACGAACTTTGAAAGTGATATCCAATTAAAAATGCCAAAACTAAGAGATGAAATAATTTTTTTTAAATAATAACTGGTAGCAATATTACATAAATAAATAATGTAACCAAAAAGATACACTTCAAAACCCTGCATCAACATTTTACCAGGCAAAAAAAGGCAGTGGTTATTGAAATTATAGGCCTACAAAATGTTAAATCATCTTAAACATTTAATCATAAGATAATACTAGAAAATTAGGAACATGAAACTGAGATCAAGATGAAAATGTTCAGCCCATGTTATTTTAGGCAAGTAATAAAAACATTAACAGCTAAACAAATAAAAAATACATAAGAAACCGTTGTGAATATAAAAATATTTTTAAGCCTACGTACAGTAAATAGATAACTCAATCAGGAAACTACTTCCTTACGCAAAAGATATAGCCTAACTTAGAACTTTAGCATTTTTTATCTGCTATATTAGGCTATATTTCAAATGAGTACTAGGCAGTGCCTTGTTTCAGGTGTGTAAGCCTATTTTGTAAAATTGAATTGGCTATAACTAACCCAAAAGTATGGTAATCGAAAGCCACTTGGCCTATGGTAAAGATAGTTACTGAGATCAAGAGAAAGTTACAGCAGTAAAACATGAACACTCAAAAACTATCTAAATTTAACAAAAATTATTGAATGGATAACATAACCACGCATGTAGAAAATAATTATATTATAGCCTACTATAAAAATATAAATATACCAAACAAACACTCAACATCTTGAATATAAAAATATAACCTAGACCTAAACAGATAACTCAACCTGTAACCAGATAACAACAAAACTAATTGAATGGATAACTTAACCATGTATGTAGAAAATAATTATATTGCACTATAAAAATATAGGCCTACCAAACACTCAACATTTTGTATTTCCAGAGTTCATGAAAAAGTGTGGTTATGTTTATAATGTTTCATGTAACATGAAAATGAACGCCAATGGCAGTTAGTTAGCTTAGTTAGCGTTTGTACTTTGTATCATAAAATGATATTGATTTGAGATTGTGAGGGTGCATAACCATGACCCAAACGTCCCTTGTGCATTTTCGAAATATCTTAAATATCTATATTATGGTGCAAAAAAACCAATTCACTAATGTGTTCCTGGGTTAAACACCTGCGCCTTTCATTCACCACATTTCCGGCACTCGAGAAGATTCTCTCACTTGCTACTTCAGTGGCAGGAATCCCCAGATAACGCTTTGCAACTGAAGCGATTGGTCCATATAATTGAGAATGCTGTTTCCACCATGAACATGGATTTTCTTGCATTGGTATGCAAGGAGAATTTATGTAGGCCTGGACATGTTGTTTCACTGCATCTTCTTTTGAACTCGGTCTGGTTCTTTGTGAGAGAGACTGGAGGTGACCCCATAATGACATCTCTGGTAGACCCTCTGAAAAGAGTACAGAAGGTTGATACTTGTTCAACTTGATAGGTTTTCATGAGTAAAAGTTGTAAAATGCCAATAGGCCTACAACAATAAAGACAATATTGACAAAAAGAAAATGCCCTCTTAAATCCTTCCAAAATTCCCGCCTTTTGGCTAACGCAATAAGAAAACATTTTTTTTTACTCAGTAAACTAATCAAGCTGTTACTACATCCAGTACTCTCATAGAACATTACATTCAGTGTAATTGTCAAAGCCTCAACAAACTCTTGTGTAGAGCATTATAAAATTAATGTTTTCATTTTTTATATAAACTAGTAGGGCAAAGATTTGGCCCTAACTTTATAATTTTAGCCATTCTGCTGACTAAAAATATACTAGGCCTAAATACAACTAGGTCTTACCCTAAAGCTTGTACTGACCTTTTGGACCACCAGAAGAAGAAGAACCTATGGATGCTGGTGGGTTATCTTCAGCGTAGAAACTCATTGCTTCCCTCTCCAATAAGTCAATTGCAAGCTTCTTGTTGATATCATCTAGGATTAGTGCCTTATACCTCGGATCAACCAGCATTGCCAATTGATAATGTTTGCTAAGTAGATATTCATCTGGCGGAAATCTTGCATTGATTGCCTTGTCAAGGGCCCTAGCGAACATTGTGCCTCTTGCCCCAGATGTAATGAAT